TAACTATCCCTTATTATGGAGTTGTTCCTCAATCAAGAACAAGAATATCAGATATTTTCACTGTTATCGACATGCAATGCATATGCTGTATATTCATTTCTATGCAAAAGTAAATATTATTTATCTCTGTTTTTCAGCATTAAGCAGCTGAAAAATGCCTGCAAGGGCAAGTCAGGTGTTGCCGCAGGTGCATCGGCACAACATTTACACTCTGACGGACAGCTCGGAATGTGGGTCAGAGACAGAAGAGGATGCAGAACCTTCCAAGCGTCTGACACCCCTGAAGAAGTTAACGCTGGAAATGTGCAATGACGAAGATACCATAAAAGAACTGACGGTGGGCAGAAGGGTGGGATTCTATAAAGTCCGCGGTCAGATCGGCTGTGGGAACTTTTCGAAGGCCAAACTGGCCGTCCATGCCCTCACCAAAGGTAGAAGAGATTTAGCATAATATAATTTGAATAAACACTTGACTTCTTGAGTCTAGGTCAGAATTAAGAGAGTAACAGGATTAATGTGTAATGACCTCATCCTGATTTTATTCCACATGCATGTCCTGTAGACAAGGTGGCCATTAAGATCATGGATAAGATGAGGCTCGATCTGCAGACTCAACGGATGCTGTCCAGAGAGATCTCCAACATGGAGAGCTTGTATCACCCAAATTTATTGCAACTCTATGAGCTGCTAGAGACGCCAAGTCGGTTGTACCTGGTTCTGGAGTTCGCTGGAGGAGGAGACCTCCACACCAGAATCAGCTCAGGAGGAAAACTCTCTGACCAAGAGAGCAAGATTGTATTCGCCCAAATCCTGTCAGCAGTCAAATACATGGTTAGACCTTCTATATCAACAATGTATCACTTTATTTTTTTATTTTATTTTTTTATTTATTTATTTTTAAATCTAGGTTATAGAAAACACACTAATAGTAAGTCATAGTAAGTACAGTGAATTGTGAAATGGGTCAATGACATGATGCTCATTTTTAACCAGATCTATTAATTAAAAAACACATAAAAATGCAGTGCATTGTTTGAATACACCTGTTCCATGAAGAGCAAATTTCTGCAATAAAATGTATTTTAATTATTTAAAATAAAAACGTGTTTTTGAAAAACACTAGTTTACCCTTATATTTTACATCATCTTTCATTATGTCTCACTAAAGAGCTTATTATTAATATTTAGTATTTTTTTTAATTTAGTAACTATTAGTAACTAATAATTCATGACATTTTTGTATGAACTATTACTATTTATATATTGTTTACACTAATCATATATACAGTATATATAATTACATCTTTTAGAATTAGATTTTTAAACAGATTTTTCCCATTTTTATGGTGTATGTCATTGACCCAAATAATTTGAATCACTGGATGACTGTTGAATTGTTGACATTTTCTTGAATTCATATATCTGTGTTCATTTCAGCATGAGAACAACATCATCCATCGAGATATGAAGGCTGAAAATGTTCTTTACATAACCAACTCCTGCATAAAAGTGGCTGATTTTGGCTTCAGCAAGAGGGTCAACAATCGCAACCAAGCCCTAGACACCTTTTGTGGTTCTCCTCCTTATGCAGCTCCAGAACTCTTCAAAGATGAGTCTTACATCGGGCCACCTGTGGATGTGTGGGCAATGGGCGTCCTACTTTTTTTCATTGTGACTGGCACATTGCCTTTCCGCGCTGACACTGTGGCCAAGTTGCGCCAAAGTGTGCTGGAGGGTGCCTACGTCCTGCCAACCTGGGTATCAGCTCCATGTCAGCGGCTGATCAGGGGGATCTTGAAGCCAGAACCTTCGGAGCGATGCGCACTGGACCAGATGCTGGGTTGCGAGTGGCTGCTGCCGGTGGAACTCTTCCGGCCTATTCCTCCCTTATACCAGCTCAACCCCGTCCATCTAATAGAGACCAGCCCAGCGGAGTTAGACAGAGACCAGGAAGAGGTAAAAGGTATCCTGGAGAAACTGGGAGTCACTCAGGAACATATTCTCAATAACCAAGGAAAGCGCATTCGCAGTCCTATTACAGGGGTTTACCGCATACTATTGCACAGAGTTAAAAGAAACAATGGAGCCGAGTCTGCTCCTATAATCAGTGGAGTCGTCAAAGATCCTAAAAGAGACAGTCTCCGTGCCTATAGGAACCTACGGCACTCCTTGAAACTGTGTGTGCTTTCTTAAAGGCATAGTTCACCCCTTTTATTCAGTCTTTTTATCCATACAATGAAAGTCAGTGGGATCCAAAACAATACCGGACCCCATTGACTTTAATTGTATATGTTCAAAATAGGCACTGCAAAATTTTTCAAAATATCTTCTTTTTGTGTTTCACAGAATAAAGAAGGTACATATTTGGGACAGCAAGAGGGTCGAAAAATGAATTAAGTTTTCATATTTGTGCCATGTAATCAGCCTAATACTATTGGAGTTGTGGCATTTTACTGTTAATAGACCAAATCAATGAGAAACTATGCTAATTCTTATTAACTTAAACAGTACTTTTAAAATAGTTTCCTTTCAGTAACTACTTTCACAATACATTTTACTTAATTGTCAGTGTAATATTTATGTTTCAGTCAGCCAGCTTTTTTATTTTTTGCAAATAAAAATGTATATAATTTGTCTGATTTTACTGCTTTCTTCCATTTTTGTGTACCAACTTTCACTACATCATGTTCAGTTTACAGGCTCTCTGTGCTTTCACTGAAGCCCCTCTCTCAACGCTGAGAGCTGCAGCAATCCGTGCAGAAGCCATGGGCGCTTTGTAAACAATACAGCAACTGACAGGGAGCCATACGAGTGCCAGCCCAACACTCACCCCCGCGACACCGCCTTCACCTCCCATCTGCGCTGCTTGGCAGATGGAGTAGCGTCGTGGCTCAGACATCTGCCGAGGTAACAATGAGTTCCTTGTGCTGGGGCCCCCAATTTACGGGACAGCGCGCTGCTATTGTGCTGTAGCTATACACATGCAGATCACCAGCGGCTGCAGATGGCAGCTGACACTATATGCTGCCCCCAATCCAGAGTTACTTCAGAATTAAAACTTTAGGAATGGCCATTATTCACTATAGACGTCATTTTATGTTTAGAGAATAAAAATGAGGCTGAAGGATACACGTGCAGCGAGTTCAAGATATATGGCGACTACTTTTAACACGTTTCACGAGTATTAGCCTATGTCACTATAGGAAATTGATGCATTTTGCAATGTGTCAGCTAAACAAGTAGGCTACAAGTTATAAAACAACACAACTTACTGAACATCAATCCCCCGGCCTCGTTTTCATTCTCGAAATATAGCCTAAATATATCCATGACATACCAGATATGGTGTGTGAATGTGTTGAGAATGCAATGTGTTTTTGACATCTGCTGAAGAGTGAACACATGACAAAATTGTTAATTTTTAATACATTTATTGTTTTTATGCATTATTGCATAATTTCTACAATGCAAAAGTTGTAATGCAAAGTCAAACAACATTTAAATATTTTTTCTTACATTTTATAAAAAATATTTCTAAAGTGTGAAACCTTTAGAGATTTTTAAGTTCGTTTTTTTCTCTTTTTTATCATAATATTTCTTAAGTGAAACCTTTAGAGATTTTTAAGTTCGTTTTTTTTTTCTTTTCTTTTCTTTTATGTCATTTTAAAATGTCTAAAGTGAAACCTTTAGAGAATAAGACAATTCTGGAAAGTGGAAAGCACATTGCCTACAATAAGGTACGTTATATTGTGCAGCAATTACATTTTTAAAAACGTCTGAGATGTTAAAGTCCATTTTTAAAAACGTTGCTTCGACGCACCGCCGCGTCCTCTGCGTGTTCAACGCATGCGATATTTGCTCTGTGGAACAGAGGCAAAACTCGCTTCTCCTTCCTCTCCAAACCTCATTCGCACAAAGAATGAGGGCCATTGTGTCGCTCTCGTGGCATACCTGACCTCGTTCACATAAAGAATGAGGATCATCTTGGCATGGACGGGACGAGGAACGACGTAGAACCGCGAGGGCCACTCGGGCCTGCCTCGCGCTGCCTGGACGGTTCAGCCTCCTCAGGAGCATCCAGGGATGTGGAAACATCAGCATCCTTGCTTCGAAGGATGAGTCGAGTATTCCTCAAGGTTTACAGCATCTCAACAGAGAAGAGTAAAGCTCCAGATCAACGCTCGAGCAGAGTGATCTCAGGAACCCACTCGTTATAGCTGCGACTTTCTTCACAGAACATGTGAAGCTTCTCCAGAGCTGGATCCTCCCACGAGTCCTCAGCTGGGTTCTGTTGTGATGAAGAAAAATGCAAGTTTAGCATGGCACCCAAAACGTTGCAAATGCATATAGTTTCTGCTTTTGCTAATGAGTGTAAACTATTTTCTTTTGCGCAAACATACCGTGATAAGAATGCAGTGAGCATCCTCAAATTGTTCAGTACTGTCACCAACAATCTCAGAAAGACGTTGCATGTCATTCACTCTAACGATGCTGATGTCGTTGTCGAAACAGAAGGCTTGGATGAGAGTGAAGTGGATTTGGAGAGCGATGTCGCACTCAAACTCCTCATCCATCGCCAGGACGCAGAAAGACACGCTGTCTGGGTCACTGAAATACAAGAAAAGGCAAATTATAAGCACAACGTGTACTACTAAACCAATCGAAACGCTTAATTAAAGATGTTGCATAGAGAAAAAAACAATAGACAGCATACTCACACATTCATAACTTTGGCAGACTCGTAAACGCCAGTGGTAAGGCGGTCGTTCGCTTTGGCAGAAACCAAAACTTCTTCCAGTGCTTTTCCAGTGCACTGAGCTCTCTCGCTGGGCTTCTGGATGAGAACTTCCTCAAGAGTCATGATGATGCTGGTAGTAATTCCACAAGGAGCAGATAGCAGAACTGAAGCTGGATGTAATCCTTAAGGATTAATGCTCTAACGGCGTGAGCTCGCTGCTTTTATACTCCCCGGCTCGTGGTGGCTATGAAAGAAGCGTTCTCTGATTGGTTCGTCTGAATGGTGCATTGGTATGCTAATGTTATTGTCACACTCCGGCTCTTGGCAGATTGATGAGGGCTGTAATGTTACTTTTTAAGACTTGCTGCAGACTTCAATTAATTATTTTTTATCATTTCAGTTTTATCTTATAAAACCGAATACGTTTGAGCAGTAGGCCCTATGTTATTTTTATACTGTAGTCTATTTTTATTTAATTAATATATTTTTACACTATTTACAAAAGCATATTTATTTATTTTGCTATGTGTTATGTTTTAGTACGGTGTGTGGTTTTTTTGTTTGTTTAACTCCAGACCAAGCAAGTTATATTTACACAGTTTAAAAGTAGCCTAATATCTCTCCTCACTCTCTTTAACATTTAACATTGTTCTACTTGGAATACGTTTCTCTTTTAGACCTATAGGCCTACTTTGATTTAAATATTTAGTAGGTATTTAGCAATGTATTTAGTAAAGCGAAATATAAATATTACAGAGGGTGAAATTACATTTCTACAAGCTATGTTTTCGCCTGAAATTCAGTATTTTTAGTAGAGAATTTAATGGTGAAAGTGAGCAAATGTGGATAAGGGATCGCATCCCCCGCCCTCAGCGCAAAAGACAGGTGGAGTGTGGCCATCTGTGGACACTGAAACGGTCCTATTGTGAGTTCAGAAATTTCCATTATTAGACGCCTTTACAAATGCAAATAAGATGCGCGTGCCATGACGCCCCGCTGCCCAATCTGGCCTGCAACAGCCACGGACCCCGTGATCAGAGGCAACTTTCCAAATGTATAGGCCACCCTGAAAATTCAGCAATGTTTATATTCGTATATTCTCCACGTGCAGAAACATTTGCATCTTTAACGCATTTAATGACGCGCGTTTAGATGCGTTGATATTTTGGCCATTTTATTGACAGGTGGTTTTAAATCTGTACAAAGATAATTTGGGGGAAAAAATCCTATGCTATGAATCATGTAGAAAAACATCAGAATCGCAGATCATTACGAATGCAAGCTTGTAGCTATGGAAGAAAAGAAAGGAGTTTCTAGGTTATTTGAGAGGCTCGAGATAACAGGTTGACGCTGACTGATATAGGCCTATTGTTTCCCTGCAGAACAGGAGCAGATGGAGAGGCCTCACTTTAGGGTGCCCCCATTGGCCCCTCGCAGCCCAGCAGCGCATATGACTATTGTGTGCAAGTTTGTTGTGTGTCTAGAATGGTGCATAGATTCAGTTAAACTTTTGGTTAAAGTGAAGCTGCAGCTAGGAAAAACTACAGAATGTAAAATTACATTTAATATTTTGCAAGTTGAGTTTCATACATGCAAACGATAAAAATTATAGCCTAAAAACTTTTAAAAAAGAAAAGAAAAAATGCACTTGCAAAATACAGAACGTCCTATAGAGCTTAAATTTGTGCTTTATTTACACAGTACAGAGCACAAAAACAAAGAAGAAGAAAGAACTGGTTTCAAATAGCAAAGACACTTGCAACGAGTATAGATGCATTGTTCTAGTAGGCCTATCACATCTGCAATCCGGGCATCCCGTCCCTGCCCCCCTTACTGCGCAAGAGTGACAGGTGTTCCAAGACAAACCTGCTCGAGCGCAAAGCAGACTAATCGAACAATTGCTTTTACTTAGTCCCTCCTGCAGCTGCAGATTAAGACAGTCATCTGTTACAAAACCATTGCATATTTCTCTATATGACTTAGCTGTCATCAAAGGAATAAAAGTCAGCCAAAAGTTTGGTCAGATGTGTTGAAGATTTAAATAAAAGCTACATGCATAGGAACTAAACAAATAGGCCTATGGCTTACTCATTAAAGGTTGTTGATTCTACATGCAGTTAAGAATATTTATATCATGTTTATTATCGAAAGGCACTATAAAAAGTGTTTGTATCTGTAGGCATAGATAGAAGTCTCAATTGCTAAATACAGCAGAAATTTGCTCAGCTGATCCTTTGTCTTCCCCATCAACAGATGGGGAGTGTTTCCATAGCAAAAAGAGAAGCACGTCCAGATGCCACGCGCCGTTAGTCCGCTCATCTTGGGTATGCAAATTAGCCACGCGTATGTGATACAATCAGCAATAGGTAATAAATAACCTTCAGCACATAAAATCAACACCAAAGGTTTGGTGAATTCACCCATCTCTGATAACCACGTTATCTAGATTTTGTATTTAATAAAAATGCTTGCTCGAGCTATATGTTGTTTGTCATTACAATTAATTAACCACTCTTATTTGCTAAACTCTATTTTTAGAAACAATCAAAACACGCCAAAACGAATATGCCTAACTATTCGCGGATTGAGCAATGATGGAATGTATAGGCCTACATGTTGGTTAAGTTACTCATAATGTGATTGATTTTGTTTGGATTGTTTCAATATGTTAGGTTAAAATTTATATAAGGAAGTTTATCGTATCTGAAACTGGCCAGCGTTGGCCACCAGCTTTTTTGCATTATAGTTCATAAAGCAGTAAAACCATTTCAATGAACAATATCTATTGACAAAAATTGTAAAATGCTTAAATGTTTCATCTCATTTTAGATGATATAATAGCATGTCACATCTCAAAAAAGCATTTCTAAACTATCTCTGTGAGCTTGATGCTACATGCGCGCATTGAATTTACGCCGCGTCTTTTGAGTAGAATAAGTTGCTCTATTTAATTAGGACAAAAGTGAAAGGATCAGAGTTTGATCCTTTCTTACAGTTCTATTGATGTCACGCATGTCTAAAGGCACGCGCCTTGGATACGTCCGTTTCTTTATTGTTCTGAACAGCCAATCAGAACGCGGGGTGCAAACGCGTGCCACTCTCCCACTATAAGTACTGGTCGCGTGTCTGGAAACTCACTCACAATTTATTCCGCTCCGCTCGAGCCTCTACTGTACTTCAAACACAGCTACTGCCTACTTCAATCCAAACCAAGATGGTGAATGAAGGAAAATCTCTTGCCGAAGCCCTGCTGTCTGCCAAGGCGGAGGGTCGCCTCACTGTTGGCGTCTATGAATGCGCAAAAATAATGAACGAGTAAGTTCGGAGGAACTTCTTCCATGCGATAGCTAATCCATGTCTACTTGACCATATTATTATGCTACTGTTTGGGGGTAACTCATTTCAAACCTACTTTTGTTTTCACAGGGACCCTGATAGCGTGTCTTTCTGCCTTTTGGCCACTGATGACTTTGAGTGCGACATCGCTCTCCAGATTCATTTTACTCTGATCCAAGCGTTTTGCTTTGACAACGACATCAGCATCGTCAGAGTAAACGACCTGAAACGTCTCAACGCTCTTGTTGGTGCCAAGGGTCAACTTGAGGACGCTCACTGTGTCCTTATAACGGTGAGAATATTTTCATATCTAACATCTTTATGCAAGAGCATGTTAATTTCTCCCAAGACTTGGTTTTTAAAACCCTTCCTCTCTGTTTTAACAGAACCCAGCTGAGGACTCGTGGGAGGATCCAGCTCTGGAGAAGCTTCACATGTTCTGTGAAGAAAGTCGCAGCTATAACGAGTGGGTTCCTGAGATCACTCTGCTCGAGCGTTGATCTGGAGCTTTACTCTTCTCTGTTGAGATGCTGTAAACCTTGAGGAATACTCGACTCATCCTTCGAAGCAAGGATGCTGATGTTTCCACATCCCTGGATGCTCCTGAGGAGGCTGAACCGTCCAGGCAGCGCGAGGCAGGCCCGAGTGGCCCTCGCGGTTCTACGTCGTTCCTCGTCCCGTCCATGCCAAGATGATCCTCATTCTTTATGTGAATGAGGTCAGGTATGCCACGAGAGCGACACAATGGCCCTCATTCTTTGTGCGGATGAGGTTTGGAGAGGAAGGAGAAGCGAGTTTTGCCTCTGTTCCACAGAGCAATATCGCATGCGTTGGACACGCAGAGGACGCGGCGGTGCGTCGAAGCAACGTTTTTAAAAATGGACTTTAACATCTCGGACATTTTTACAAATGTAATTGCTGCACAATATAACGTATCTTATTGTCGGCAATGTGCTTTCCACTTTCCAGAATTGTCTTATTCTCTAAAGGTTTCACTTTAGAAATATTAATATGACATAAAAGAAAAAAAAAACGGAAAAAAAACCTAACTTAAAAATCTCCAAAGGTTCAACTTTAGAAAAATGTGATTTACAAAAAAAAGACAATATTTAAATATGCTCTTAAATTTGTTTGTAGAAGACAAAGGAAAATGAAAAAAAAAATGTGGAAATGATTACATTTGTCTGAAGATTTTACTTTAGATATTTTGTATGAGTCAAAAATGAATACAAATAAAAGATAGTTTGAATTAAACTTGTTTGTGAAGCAACTTATTTTTGTACATGTCATGAAAAGTGTTTTGAGTCAGCAGGAAACTGTCAGTGACATGGGCCTCATCTTTGGTTGCAGAGAAAACCTTAATAAGCAGAATATTTCATTAATGTCATAATTTTTACTCACAAAAACTGAAAACACTATATGCATGCTCTCAATTTTTATGCGAGTTGACTTTTATACTAAAACATTACAGAGTAGTCTTCCCACAAAGGCCTAAAAACTATAAGGTTAATTTCTAAATGTAGGCTACATTTATCTCTAAATCAGCCTGATTAGCTTGTGAGTTCATGATGAATGAGATGGACATCGCTTATAAAATTAACCAATAACATTTAGATCTTATAATGAAAGTTGCACTTTTATGTAAACATTTGCTCAACAGAAGCACAGAAGAAATCATAAAGCTAAACCAGTATAATCTGTAATGAGGGACAAACCTGATCTCACCCAAAAAGATGTCATTTATAGTCCTAATTAACTCACCAAAACATCTACAGTAATGAAGAAAGAAATTAAGTTTTTTAGTAACCACAGTATAAATGCACTGTTAACTCTAATATA